ATTTACGAATGACACGGCGCTTGACAAGTTAACTGCATCTTCCAGCAATCCTGTGGAACGATTGACGAGCTCCGTGACTGATCACCACTTCTGCTCCCGTCAAGACCACCTGCGCTTCGGAACAGTGACCTGCAACAAGCTCCCTAGGCCGCCAACCTTAGAAGTTACCTGTGCGACCTTCTCTCCTGCAAGATGCGAGACTCCCTGTGTCACTTCCCTCCGTCACCTGTCTCCCGTCATCCACCTGCATCGTCTACCCCAGAATCGAGGACGATTCTTCTTAGGTGACCGAGCGATCTAGTGACCTGTTCTCGTGATCTCCCTCGTCTTACATACCAGAAAAGCCATGTGTTCTTATCCCACAGTAATTCCACTGTCCTCAGCCGACTCCAGTAGGTCTACACCCGTGAAAATGACAAATGACCTTAGAACCCGCTATTTCAACCCTTATTGCTTGTGAACAATTTCCCATGCTGTTATTTCGTTGTCTATGTGCATAACTATGTGTTGTTTATACTTGAAATGTTCGTTAGAAAATGCTTATTCTAAATTGCTATGTATGTTGCCGTTAACATTGCCTATATTCAAAATGTCTTTATGTTTTGTGTATACTCAGCATTTTTGTCTCCTTATCGCGAAGCTTTTTAGTCTTGTAAACACCATAGATCTTCTACACACAACCGTGTATATAAGGTACCCTTGTTCGTTCACCACGAAACCATCATGTGACCATATGTATCAGATTTTATGTTCATTCAAATTCTTTCATGTTTTTCATTATGAATTGTTTCAAAACGAAGTTTGTTCATGGAAATGTCTGAGCAGTTCAGACAGACCGCTCGCCACGGCGGGCCGGGCAGGTCGCCCCGCTCTTCCCTGAGCGCCCCTGCCTTGCCCGACCTCTGTATCCCACCTACCACGCTACCGCAGAATAAAGTATTGAAGCTGTATCAACTTTAACTTAACTCCACTTCACTTCAAGACACAATCGGCTGTACCATACTAGAAAGGAGAGAGAGGAAGTCCACAAGTACATTACATAATTTGGTGCCATCGAGGTGGGATCACTCCGGGATCAAAACCAACTACATTACATAATTTGGTGGCATCGCTCTGGGACATCAAAACCACCTATTATTACATTGGTGTCACCACTGGGATTGAACAAACCACCTTTATTACATTGGTGGCATCGCACTGGGATATCAAAATCACTATTATTACAAAGAGAGAGAGAGAGAGAGAGAGAGAGAGAGAGAGAGAGAGAGAGAGAGAGAGAGAGAGAGAGAGAGAGAGAGAGAGAGAGAGGGGGGGGGAGAGGGAGAGAGAGAGAGGGAGGTGAGGAGAGAGAGGAGAGAGAGGAGAGAGGAGAAAGGAGAGGAGAGGAGAGGAGAGGAGAGAGAGAGGAGAGAGAGAGGAGAGGAGAGAGAGAGGAGAGAGAGAGGAGAGGAGAGAGAGAGGAGAGAGAGAGAGAGAGAGGAGAGAGAGAGAGAGGAGAGAGGAGAGAGGAGAGAGGAGAGAGGAGAGAGAGAGAGAGAGGAGAGAGAGAGAGAGGAGAGAGAGAGAGAGGAGAGAGAGAGAGAGGAGAGAGAGAGAGAGAGAGAGAGAGAGAGAGAGGAGAGAGAGAGAGAGAGAGAGAGAGAGAGAGAGAGAGAGAGAGAGAGAGAGAGAGAGAGAGAGGGGGGGGGGGGGGAGAGGGAGTGGGAAAGGAATAGCTGAGAGTCATGGCTTTGTACTTATATCAATATGTTTCTTGTCTGCTCTTTGTGATTTTTGACATATTAACTGATGAATGTTACCAGTTCGACGATAACCGCGGCTACCTCCCACTCTCTGAAACTTGCGAAGCACTCAACAATCGCTTAGCATTAATGACAACAGCCCCACTTCTCTCCTGAAGCTCGGTTATTCAGCGTTGTTGGATGCCTCATGGATGCTTAGTTCATGCCTCCTTTATTACTGGAGACCCTTTCACTTACATTGTTTCTCTTACACTTCGTTAGAGTCCTGGAATAGTCACTGCTCACAAACCGATCTCGGCTTTGCACGTGAGCATACCTGCTTGAGGCGGAGTGGCACTGTCTGGTTTCCGAAAGGCAACATATAGGGTTAGGCTCTTTCCCGGTAAGGGCGCCCCGTATCCAGCAAGGGATCCGTCGCAAAGTGGCGGTTAAAACCCACGATCTTAGACGCGCACGTGGCATAGGCATGGTATTTTAGTTATTTTAGCTGTTTAGTTTTATAATCACGGGTGCTGCAGCTTCTTATTTATTCTTCAGTTTTCCTAGTGTCTTATTGTATGTTTTTAAGCTTTATTTTTTCCAGCGTGTGAATAGTGTGCATGTACTAAAATTTTGCAGATTTACGTCTTTTAATGTACTGTGAATTCTGACCGACTTTAACGTTTTACTAATAGCATGCATGTTCTTGTGTGTGTTTCGCCACTGCTTGACTCTTTTTGAACCTCTGATGAAACTTGTCTTTTAATCATAATAGCAAA